GGATTTCAGTGTGGATTTACGATTTTGAGCAAGGATTACATAAATCGTCTGGAGGAATTCTTACGACAGATGTTTTCAATTAAACTGTAGAATTCATGTATGTATATGTACTTTACATGCAACAAATTCCTCCACAAGCTACCACTAGTACCAGCATGATACAATATACCCATTTCTGCTTGAGTAGACAGCCTTCCATGTGAGTCAGGCAGATTAGAGATCTGTGGGACTTGTCTATACAACAATTGGGAGGGGCTCAGGACACTACTTGCTCTGATAAACATACAGGGGTACACAGAAATACCAGCTTTGAAGTCTTCCCACATCCTCACAACATTATCTCCTTAAAGATCGAGCTACATACCTGAGAAGATCCACCTGTTCATGCCTAAGGTTCCAGACTGAATTATGACAAATCACACAACAACGAACCATATAAAATTATGCATATTACCGGGAATTTCATTAAACCTAAATGAACCAGTATAGTCTAGACATTTAACTTTTTTTGTCTTTATCAATTATTATTAAAGAAAGGCTTCAAATGAATGTCAACAAAATAAGCGTGCTAGGTGGTCACTGACTTTGTACTCTGAAGCCACAAGACAACCATACAGTACTGACTTGCCGAGGGGCATGATTTGCTAATTAGGACAAGAAAAGCAGGTCCTTACCACAAATCTTTGATTGGCAGAAGTTAACCAGTTACCTGTCAGTTAACTACACTCCATTCCACCTCAATACTTTAGTAGTACACAACATCACAGTTCTTCTCATGCAGTTCATTCTGGTTGCAGGTGTTCAAATAACAATCATTGTAAACCCTTCTAGACTACCGGTATATCTCAATCACTAACAGAACAACACTATATCAACTATGATCTTTCCCAATAGGAGACAACACTTACCAATTGTTAGAAATAAACTTGGAGTTCTGGACACACAAAACACAAAATCACAGACCAGTAAGTTCACTGCAAAATATAAGAGAGTCTTACCCTGACTTGAGTCATACACACAGTAGCAACACCTACTGACAAGCCTAGCACTAAGACTAGTAAGAGAAACCCTCTTCCTGGATTTATGTTACAAATGAGAGATAATGACTGGTTACCTGAGTCAGCCAATCACAAAGGTCAATGCTACTCGGCTTAGGTTCCCATTTTAAAAATACATGACATTGTGTGATAAACCCTTTGAACTAAAAATGTCAGCTTAATAAGATTATCATTTCAAGGACGTACATGTATGCTAAGTATTTGTTTGCCAGATTTAATTACAATACTTCTGAGGGAAACGTTGCCATATCCACTGACCCACACACATGCCTTTACTATTGTGTCAGGACCAATTAAAAACAGCTCAGTGTAACAGGGGACAGGTCCTACTTCCTGAGGGGAATCCTTGTTCCTATTTCCTGTCACGCAATTTGCAGTGACTCAAACCTTAAGGGTTATCATCAAACTTCAGAAGACGACCCTGTTCTGAGTCATAGACGTACATCCTATTTCTTCTCCACCACCCCTGTGGCCTCCTGTGCCCCCATGGAACAATGTTGTGATGTCAGCTGAAGCCCTGTGTGCTCTCTCTAGTCTCCTCCCTGATCAGCACCACTCTGGCAGAAAATTACTTCCATCCTCGCTCCCATCATGTTATATTCACACGTCTCCTCAAGGGCATATTAAGTTAATAACACTTCCCCGAAGCAATATCGAACTCCAGTCTAATAGCAATCCCGATCCCTAGTGTACATTATGTATGAATATCAACAGAAAATCTCTCCTACCTTAATATATTTCAATCCCTAACTGCAGCATGTGGTTACTGTTGGGTGACTGCCTCATCTCAAGGCTGTGAATCACTTCCCTTCTGACCAAATTATGACACAGTCTCCTTTGAAATTCAATCTTCAAGTAAGCCCACCGCTCTGTCCCCCAGCAGAAGAGGGATGATGACAGCGATCAGTATTGACAGTCACAGGAAACCAGGAAGTACACATGGAAAATGGTTCACAGCACCGGCCTTGAACAGTATGTGCTTGATTCTCTTTCATACTATGAGCTAGGTTACCTGGATTACATCAAGGTCAACACTTAGATGGCAGGAAATCTCACTGTTACTACAATGAAATATACTTAGGACATGTACTAATAGTCTAGAGAACTACCATACTAGCATTTCTGAATACTACTAACTTACCGGTATATGGTCTCACAATTTGTTTGAACTAAATAAAATATACAAGGCAAATAATCTTGCAATGATTAGCAATGTGTCAAAGGAATGAATGGGTGTGAAATTGCCCGTGCTTGCTCACAGTTTCATATGCAATGTATTATCCTGAACAGGACAAGTCGATTGATGGCCACAGAAAATGTTTCCCCTTATTAGCATGCATGTCAAGGCCAAAATTCCTGTGCAGAAACCTGCTAATGAAGAAAAAGCAGTGCAACAGTGAAGCTGCACTCTCAGAAATACAAACTCAGGGGTAGGTCCATCCACTAAAGCCTCAGGTAATGGTTTTTGGATTAGGGAACATAAGAAAATCAATATTACTGTACCCATAAACATGAGTCATTAGTACCCATAAACTAGTAGTCAGCTAGTCGCCAACTGTAGTCAACTGTTGCGCTACAATCTTACCAAACTTACCATGTTATAATAAGTTATATAATCCTCTTCACTTGTATTCAAATATAATATTATATATGGGCTTGCGAGGTTGGAAAAATCTAGGCCAGACTGAGGATATGTGCAATTTTTCGTATTTTGCCAAGAAGACTTGCCATTTTGTTGCTTGGTACTCTGTTCAGACACTATTTTGAGAGACACAATGTGACGGTGACTGTAATTCACTGAGAAACTGCGTCATTGTGCTTGTTAGTGGGAACAGGCACCAGGGGGTTGTTTACATGATACAAACTGTACAACATGTCAACAAACATCATGTAACCTAAGAGCACACCTCCATTTTGTGTCTACCCCCAACCTGTAATGGCCCAACCATGAATGATTTCATGAAATTGAATTTACAAAGGAATGCAAAAACATAACACTACTAATCAATAAAAATCAGGTCACTAAACTACATTGTACATGACTTATTCACAAGGAAACTACTTCTACCGGTACTAGCCTAGAAGGCTGGAGCCATGAAAACTGAGAATTATTAGCATAACTTTATAGACTCTAAAGACATTCACCCCAAATTTTATTAGATCTACCAGCAGGGGTATAAAGGAAATCAGATCACTGGTACAGCCAATCAATGATGATTTGTCAGTAGTTATGGAAATCCTATATGTCTGCAGTAAGTACTATTATAAATCTTCTCTACATAAAGCAGGGCTATAAAAATTCATCCCGTAGTATTTCATGCATGATTTGATTTCAGATAGAAGCAAAATGGTGTGCTAACCATGTCTAGAATTGGAATTAAAACAAAAACAAGAGCTAGCTTCATTTGAAAATGATAGTCATTTATTGCCAATAATTGAGGAATAAATGTAAAATATGAAATACGTATCCTCAACCTCTGACAAACTAGCAACATGACAGTAAAAATAGTCATCACACAATGATATAGAACTACTCCAGGTGCTGAACACATGCGATCATCAACCAACCAAAATCTGTCCCTTTCACCCTTAATTTGCACAGTTTGCAGACTTCAATACATCCAGCACACACATACAATTTTCCAATACAGCTGTAGTGGGGGGATGCCCTGGAGTTCATATGTCAACCTCGGAGTCTCTAAAGTATTGATTTCTAATTTCATGGGCCGGTTACTCGCATTCAGATTTCTCCATCTGGTCCTACCACAAGGTCAACAATATCGCACAGGAGCGTTACTGGTAAAACGCTTCAACATGCAGAACAATTCCACACCTGTCAAAAACATGCCCTATAGATATTGTATTGGTCAATGGTCAATACCTGTCCTCAAAGACTACATCAATAAATACAGTAGGCACAAAAAAAGTGAAGGAATGAGCAAAGTTGAATGACAATCACATATTTGCAAATACATGTTACTATGAAGGTTTAACTTTTTTAATGTTTTACACCTCTCTAAAGATGAACTTGACCGCCAGTTCTTTGAAGTATTGGTATTTCCAGAAGTATGTCCCTGTTGGAAAACTCCATTAGTAACCATGACCACACATACATTACCACAACCTCTGGGGAAAAGCTACTGCAGATGAAACACAATGCATTGATTGCAATGCACAAACCCGGTAACATCCCACAAAAGAAATGCTACTTTCAAATTATGAGAAAGCTATATTGTATCATCTCCCATGGGTTTACCAAAAGATTATCCCTTATAATTCTGTAAACAAGGTTATGTATCAGATAATAACTCCTTGCTTTCATTCCAGGATCACATCTGATGTATTTCGGTTTCTCACATTGACAGATGCCCAGTTTGCAAATTTCATGAGGTACCTTTAAATTTGCTGGGAGACTTTACAGATGCCACTGCATGGGAAATAAAACATTAGGTGATTACCATACAAAGGACCTTCATAAATGGTAATTGGTATGCAACTGTGTGGCATGATAACCAAGCAGATATAGAAACCAATGCTCCTTTTAAGATTAGGAGCAAGACTGAATACCTATGATTATGTGTTGTACAAAAACCATAAACATTATAGAATAGACTGTAAAAATCATCATAAAACTGTCATAAAATACCTCGTCACAAAAACAGCATATCTTATGCACTCTCACGTCAGACTTGGGTTCATCAGAGGACACCATTCACAACAAACAACTCCATGTATATTCTTCTCAAAGCAAAACTGCCATGCTAAGACCTGGTTCTCACGACCACATAGTAGAGATGATTGTTACATGTGGCCCACAGGTGGTCTGGCAAATACCTACATAACATCATTAGGCCTTGGATAATTTTCAAGCAGATGGGGAGAGAATATTATACAATTTTCTGGCTTCCTAATTTAACAAATTATTAAACACAGTACTGTAAGGGCAGTTCATAATCGTTTGGAAATTAAGTTATCAGCATCTGGCAGTTTTTCAATCCTAGTAACGTTACATACACGGCCTTGACTATGGCACCAAGGAAACCTGTAACCTTCAGGGATATCTCACATCTAAAATTACAGCCTGGGTGCCATCCATAGATGTAGTGAGTATGGGAACTGGGGTAAGCTAACACTGTAACAGGATGGCACCAGGCTAGAATAAATCATGACACACAATAAAATCCCCTGGGCTGAAAATCAAGCAAGCCATTTTGAAAATCTATTGGATCACTGGATCATTGTCAGATTCCTATTTTTGCCCAATGGTAAACATTATAAAGCTAGCCCTGTATGTCTAGTACTACACAAATCCAACAATCCTATTGCCTATTGGTATGGATTAGTTGTCAAAACAGCAATCACTAAATGTATCTGTTTTGGCCATGCCTTTCTCTCTACTCCCTAATCTCATGGGATGTTGCTGATACAGCAGAATATACTGGACAAAAGATTAAGTTACTACAAAATGTATTATATAATTGTACAAATCTATTAAACCCAAAGTACTTATTTTAACCTCCTCGCTAAGACCATCACCTGTCTCCACTATCAAAGGCAATCCCATTTAAGATTTAATCCTTTAGGCAATGACAGATAATGCATGGGCTTTGGTATAAAGCTTTAATCTTTTTGACAACACACAAATAGGGCCTGCAAAATATCTTGGGTAACCTTTATTGAAATGCCAATCATGATTGGGAATTGCACCTTAACATTACACTTAATCTGCAGTGTTGGAATTAATCAATTAATCAGGCTTTGCCTTCAAGCTCAGCAAACTAGATTTGGAATTAAAATTGTTCTGTAGCCTAGGACAAGTGAGTCAGAGACAGCAACTGAGGCAAATGCCATTATCATAACTTATATGTATGGTAATGTAGAAGTCTGGAACGTCATCAAAGTAACTTGTTTCAAATTATTGCATTTCATCACATCATGTAAGTAGCAGATGGCAAAGTAGCTAAATAAATAAATAAAAGTAGCTGGCTGGACCTTGGACACCATTTCAAGTCTGTATTATTCATAAATTTGCAACTCTATTCTCTATACAGGTGTCTATAGATTATGGTTTACAGTATATACAAATTTCATTGATAAGAAGTTTGACGACAAAAACCATGAACTTGCAGCAAAATCATGGCAAAAACGTAAGTTATAATACCTTGAAAAACATGATACCATATATTGTATAAGTAACGTTAACACAACTTACACAAGTGATACACTATTTTGTGAAAAAATTCCCTTGCAAAATAATGACCAAGATGGAAAATAAATCTGAAAAACTATTAGAATACGATCCATAATCATACACACGATTTAGCTTTACATAACCAAAGGTGCCCGAGTGCTGTCATATCTATCAAACCCAATTTGTTATAATTCAAGGGGGAGGGGGGAAAAATTATAGACACTGGCAACTTTTCATGATCTAAAGTCAACCCTTGCAAATCTAGTTAAAACCACACTTGGATGATGTCCAGCTACATTTCACACATTCACAAAAACCAGACCAGGTTATGCAGGGCGATCGACTATCTGAGTAAATCAGCACGGTTTAGATTAGAGGGACAGACTTCACCCCCACCCATCTTGCCCCGTGTCGGGATGCCAACCCAAGCTCCACAAAACAATAACTTCCGTACTTGTACTAGAATACTTTCTGAGGGCTCATCTGGTTTACATACCCCCTCAGTACATAGTGAGTGCCCCTGAAAATTCACAGACAATTGTAGTGTTATCTTAAGTACTTATGGCCTCAACAAATAATGAAGAAAGTACTTCAAACTCACCTTCAGATTACAACATCGCCGTGCACTGCCATTCAGCTTGTGTTCGAAAATGGCCACCTCAACTTGTGATCGTTTCCACCTGTCAATCAAACGAAGCCCCGCCTCTCTGAATTTGGAAGGATTCATTTGAACTGGAGGGGTGCTCAAACCTAAATATCCAATGTACATCAGATTTGCTGCGGTGCAACATTTAAAAGCAACTTGAAATTACTTCTTTTTGGCGGATCGTCGTCGAAATGATTATGAAAATACTCGAAATTCACCTCTCATGTGCTTTGTATTTCCTGTCTCCCCTGTGAGGTGGATTTTACCATTCTGGTACATGTGTGTAAGGTGGAGACTGAACAGATGGGGTAGCATTCCTCTCAGTCTCCTTGTGTATGGTAGGAATTTTGAGTATCATTTAGCTCAGGACAGCAAGGAAGTTTCAAATCAGAGCAACAAATCATGTCTACACCAACAAATATGAAAAAAAAAATCAACTTTCCCTTATAGCCTGCACAGTCAGCCAACTACGCAGAACAAAAGAGCACTTTATTTGCATCTCCATCTGTAGATTTTGCTTGTTCAGTACAAAAGTTAGAGCACTTTTCAAAGAAAGTGAAAGGCGGCAGATGGGACAACAATACAACAAAGGCAGTAGTTGGACATCTGGCTGCAGTCACTGTTATTTTCCATGTGGGACAGCTAGGTCTCTATTCCAAAGCACAATCACAAGTTTCACTGGACCATGGATAAAGTAATAAGGTGCACATAATAGTACTTGCCAGAAAAACTCAGTCTATGATGTGATCACTGCTATATTGATTACACACATCATATAAATTCAATGCTTACAAAGGACCAAAGAATGTCAGCAATCTATTTTCAATCAGCCCTTGCACGTGTCCACAACTTGGTTTAGCAACAGAAAAGCTTCTGGAGCATTGATAGAATGGAGACAATTTTCTTGACATGATTATTCAATTCAAAGAAAAAGTAGTTCGGAAGCATAAAGCAAGGTGGAAATATTTTCTGCCAGCATAAGTAATTTTTTTAATGTCTCTTGTCTGCCCATTGACAGATGCCATTCCATAACAATCTGCATTTATCAATTTCTCCATGAACACACAATTTCTGGTAACAATACCTGTACATTTTCCTTTCCCTCAGGGGCAGACTTTGTGCTGATGGCTTTGGAAAGGGCTCAACATGTGGTCTATAAGCATTTATTTTAATGTCTCCTGGGGGTCAACAAAGGTACGGCATAAGCACCAAGCCAGTGTTTACATGGTTGACCTTTTCTTGAACTCCATTGTATCTGTTGATGGGCCCATCAGACTGGGAACAATGGTAGCCAATGCTGCGTAGACAAAACAATATCTTGGGACCAAACAAAGATTATTCTGAGATAAAGGACCAAAGACATGCTAAAAAGAAGTCGAACAAGCCAAACCACTTGATTAAACCAAGTGTTAGAATTATTCTGTCCAAGTTCAAACTATCAATGTAGTCATGCAATGCATTGGTGTCCATTTTACCCTGAAGTATCTGGTTGTCACCATAGTTGAGTAGGATCCAAGAGACTTATCAAACCCAGTTACACTCCATTGAATTACATGAAAATTCACCTAGTTTTAAATTATGATAAACACTTTTATTTAATCTGAGGAAAAAAAGGTATCAAATATGGTGTGCAGTTTTGTAAAAAAAAAAATAGTGGGTGTTATCCTGACCCATTCTGTTCTGCCTAGTGTTACATAGGCATAGACATTGTCAGTTTATGTTGTTTTCTCCTTGAAAATGCACACAATAGTTTTACCACATCTTTGATACAGCTCTATGACATGATTTGAGTAACTGGATCAGTCTGTACCCCCAGCACGTCCTAAAACATGCCAACTGTTGCACACACAGTTGGTACAGTCGACCTTTGGCCGGCTACAACAGAGTCAGCAGGGATGCAGCAGGTGCAAACCAGACTCAGTCTGGAACAACAAATAGCTGAACCACTACTTTCAGTTCACAGGTTCTTTCATCTGGCTCACAGGTTGATGTCTCTGCATCCAAATTAATGGCAGCACAGCAAGAGAGACTTTATGTGAGCCATATGGTGTGATACAGTTGTCAAACAGACCTCCATCTGTCACAGGCCAGATACTGCAGTAACCATCACCATGGGCACATCCATGAAGTTTGATTTTATTGGTTACTGAACACAGACTTCTACACACTATGCGACTCCCTCCCATATTCATTACCAATAACATGGATGTGGGCTATAAAAGGGAGAAGAAGAAGACCTGATGTCCCTTGTAAAGTCATTTCTCTTTTTGTCATAGCAGATATTGATTCCAACCAAGGAGAACGTCCTCGTTCCAACTAAGTTTAATCAGTATAATGTACTTTTGCAGATGAAAATTTGGGAGTGTGTCTACTTACTACAATGTCTGAGTCAGTGATTGAGAGGTTCACAGAATTTGTCTGACACAAAGGCTAGCATTTGAAGAAATAAATATTCACAGAATACAGTTTGATGTATAGCTCTGCTTATCTATTACGTGCTGACAATCACAGCATACCATAAATCAGTGGTTAAAGAAGCCCACTGCATGTAACTCTGTACAAACATGTGACCAACTGCAAGAAAAGGTTCAAATATTCACACATACAATGTATATGAAGTCAGTGCTTATGAAACAGTATTTAGGTCAAATGCACAAATCAAAATGAAGGAAAATGTAACAAGAACATACTCATCTTCAACAGACATAAGACTACCTACAGCTTTGTGAGAGCTAGACAATGGAAACAAAAATTTTACATTATATTCCCTATTGTATGATGATTAACACACGCTTTTGTTGCTGAAATCATTCAGTGATATACATGTACATGTAAAAGGCATTTTCTAATCTTCATCCATCTCTAGGTTGATGTTGTTGCTGAACTTGGCATAAAGTTCCACTTTGAGTTTTCCTAGAACTCCCTTAATTTCATCTGCTTGTGCATTTAGGCCTGCAATCTGCTGTTGAATCTGAGTCTTGGCTTCTTCCAGCTTCTCCTGTGTTGCTTCCAGTGGCATGGATATAAATACCTCCCCTATCCGGTATGTGACTTGGTGTTAAGGGAAACAGGAAGGAAACATGATTTCATGACAAATCCATTTCAAAGGACACTTTGTCTCAACATCTCTATACAGAGGGATTCTGACAGTTAAATCATGAGAGATTTTGAGGAAGGATATGGGATTGGTGCAGACTCGTCATCCACCATCAGGAGGTCATCTGAGGCATCCTCCAGGTTCTGGAGCTCTTTCTGTGTTTCAAAGGAAATAAAACAAACAATACTGTTAGCAATAGTCCTCATAGATGTAGAAAGCTGCTTGATCTGACAGATGTATGTACATTATGTTTAACAGGAGATTTCAATTGCATTTTTCTATCCTCCCTTTAGAATATCAATAATCAAACAAGAACATCAATTCAACGAACAATAACTCAAACACCCCATTATCAAAAGCAGAGAGATTCTGCATTTTCACCTGCTTCGCCTCAATTTCCTCTTTGAGTTCCACAAGTTTTGCATTTTTGTTTGCAAATGTGTTGATCTTCTGCTGGTCCTCATAGGTCACCTGAACATCAGCATCTCCTTGGCTAGGCTGTAGGTATAAATACATTGTATATAACGTTATAGTGTGCTATAAATTTAATCATAATTTTCCTGAATCCTGATTGTTCTTACCTATAAGATGAGTTATGATTTATGCAACATAATTCATAAAAGATATCTATACAAATCGATACAAACATCCCCCAACATGGTGTACACAATGGGCAGTCTGTGACAGCATCAGTACAAGTAATCGGTGCTCTTTCAAATGCTTTCTGTCCCACATAACGTTAGACATGTTACATGTAACATGAGGTGCCAAAGCCCCCTCCCTCTTCACACAAACAACACAGTAACTGTGATCTCCCTGTGAAGAGTTGAAAGTATTTAGTAACACCAATAGAATCAGTGGATAATTTTGTCTACTACCATACCCATATACCTGCAAAAACACTACAAACGAACGTTGAATCGAGGCAAATTTTCAGATACTTACTTTCAAGCTGACGGCAGCCATGTTGGATTTTTTAGGGCTTCCCTAGATTACCCATCATTCCATGCGCATAACAAAGATGGCGGCGCCCATCAGGGAATTGGCGATATTTCTTCTCGGTAAGAAAATTGATATATTTTGGTCCCATTTACTATCTTTTATCTTATAGATTTACCCTAGCATTAGACATGTTTCTGTTACTATCACAGAGTCCAAATTTTGCATGATCGTTGTCTAGATTTGATGGTACAGGGTCATTTTTATAACAGTGGTAAAAATTTTGCAGCAAAAAAATTAGTCTGCCATAAAATTTTCAACACAAGGTAGTAATTATGATTACTACTAGTAATCATAATTTGATCAGATACTAGTAAGTCAAAAAAGCTGCACATGTCAGTCAGGAGATCTTTGGAAATCACGCACATACATAAATTTTGAGATACACAAAAACTGCAATAGATAAAAAGGCATAGGCAGTGCAATATTCTAGATAGATAAATCAATAGAATGAATTTATTTGTGTGCCTGGCTTCAGCAAAGTTGGAAAAAGCCTTAGTAACATAACGTTAAAATCCTATTTATATGTACATTGTAGATACAACTTGGAGTATGTGTAGCTGAGATTGGGAGGCATTATAGATGGCATTCTAAGAGTCAAATGCAAACCTGCACATTAAATCTTACATTAACTACAAGTTAAATTTAAAATGTAAAATGATGAATGCAACTGGGGCCTCATATTTTGCATGTCTGATCTGTCTCATCTTCCTTGCAGGACTGTACATCCAGTGTGCACTTGGTCATGTCATTGAGCTGAATAATAAGTGAGTAACGGTACATGTATATCATACTTATACCTTTCATGCATCTCCCAACATTGTTATGTTCATTAGCTTGATGATTGTCTCAATGTTTTTTTTCTTAACAGCTTTCTTGAAGACAGACATAAAGGATCCTGGCTTGTAGAAGTAAGTAATGAAATCAGTCATAAGATATTACATGTAATTTGTGTTCTCTCAAGTTGAAATCATCACTTCACTCATTCTAGACTTTTATGTTGCCTATGTCAACTCCAGTCATCTTCCCATCCAAGGTTTGAAGTGCATGTATTGTCACAAATGTGCAAGAGATTCTCTTGCTTTACTTCATCATTATTTCTGATATGGTAAGTTGTAAAATGTACACTTTTGTATGACTGAATGGTACGTGAATAGTCTTCAAGTACAATGTCAAGTACAATGTACTGTAGTTTCACACAATCATCACATTTGTTATGACTTGCCAGTTCTATGCTCCGTGGTGTGGACACTGTAAGAAGTTGGAGCCAGTGTGGCACAATGTAGGCCGGTCTCTGCAGGGGTCCCCCATCAAGGTAGCACGGGTAGACGCTACCAGGTACACAGGTATGGTGCTGCATCTTATCTCTTGCAAGTATTTGTGCTTGTATCACATTTTATGTATGGTCAAATGCTTCTTCTGTTTAGCACCATTAAGTTCTGTTTGACAGTATTGAAAACCTATCACTAAGTTTATGAATGCAGATACTGTGATATACTATGATTGATAAGTATTGTATTTCTTATTCTGTTAAAATATTAACATAGTAACATATTGACTTGTTCTTTCTCCTTTGCAGCTGTTGCTAATGAGTTTACAATCAGGGGATACCCCACCATTAAGTTGTAAGTACTGAAAAACTCATGGTCAAAATGCTCTAGATGCACTTTATTACATCACTAATTATAATCACTTATCTTCTTTTCTGTATCTATGGAATTTTCATCATGTATACTTGACACAGTACATATTTTTCTAACCTTAGTTTCAAAGGGGACCAGATTTTCACCCATAATGGAGGAAGGTCCATGGAGGACATTGTCCAGTTTGCTCAGAGAGCACAAGGGTAAGTCAGCTGGACTCAACCATTCATTTGTTTGTAGAGATTTGTGCTTGGTGTAAAGCTTCTCCTCAGCGAATCAGATTTTGACGCAACTTGTTTGTAAAGATACATTGTGAATTACAATGCTAGTAACTGAAGTTTGTCTTAAATGTTATACTGAAATATCTCTGAATTTACTTATATTCCTACTAAACTGGCATTAAGATTTCTTTTCTTTGTGTGGTACAGTCCTGCAGTAAGAGAGCTGAGAAGTGTGACCCAGCTGAATGATCTGCGCATCAAACACCCTGTCTTCTTCCTGTATGTGGGAGATGATAATGATTCTGAGCTGAAGGTGAGTACCAACAGGTCAATCAATTACACACAATTGAAATTTTAGTATGATTGTCACTCAGTTTTTTTTTTATTTAAGAAAAAAACATATCTGTAATAAAATAAGAAATTATATGTTTCACATGTTTTATTACAGACAGCATACAGTGCAATAGCAGAAGATTATGTGTTGAAGGGCTACTTCTACCAAGCTCCGCCCACCATTCTACCTCAGGTGAGAGGCAAACTGTCATGCTGGAATGTCTATTGTCATTAATTGAATCAGGAATAGATAGGATAAATACTGTAACCTGTAGAATTGGAAGCAGGAATCATGTGCTTACTGTATAAGTGTCTTAGTTTTTGTTCACCCTTTTCTTTCTTGGTTGTTCAAAGGAACTCTCCCCATCTCGATGTAACCTGTAATTAGATTTGTAACATGTTATAGAAGAAGACTTTACTGGAATCTAAGAGAAATCCTCTTGCAAATGTTCTGTTAATGAGTTACATACCAGAGTTTTTTGCTATGTCCAGGATATTAAAGTGGACACATTGCCAACAGTTCTGGTTTTGAAAGACCGAAAATACTTCAAATATGGAGGTAAGGACAGCCTGCCTAATACTTGTAATGTACATTTTAACTTCTATAAATTTGTGTAGGATAACATGCAATAGACTTGTAGTTTATCCAAGGCTACTGTATCTAACACTTGCTTTTACTGACAATTATATTTCTTATCCTATTCCATAATTCAGTGAAGTAGTAAAGACCAATACTGCCTTTAAGTGATCGAAATATAATTTGTTACAATGCCTGGTGATCATAATAAAATGTGCAACCCTGTCCAGGTGGTGACAAGGCCTTGCTCAAGGACTTCATAGAGCTGGAGAGATTCCCAGCATTCCCTAGGATAAGTGGTGACAACATTAACGAACTGGCAGGTTCAGGTATAAACTGTATATATTAAACATATCAGATATACTATTACTAAGTATTCCAGATTCCAGAAATAATACATGTACTTTGTTTCTTGAAATTTGTGACTATAGGGGGAATTCAGATTGCTGCTATACAAGTAGAAGTTCTAAATTAAAAATGTTTCACAGTCATTACCATTTCTTATGTAAAATTTATGTGTTTTGGGGACAGGCTTTCAAGGAGTAAAATAACTTAAAGTGCCTTGTAAAATTGTTTTGTAACTTTGTTCAGGATCACAGTGATGTACTGCTTCACTGTTTTCCATATCCTGTTCTTCTATCAAGTGGTTGTCCACCCTTGGTAACAATTCTCACATCCCTGTTTGTATCTAGGCAGAAGGATAGCAGTCGTAGTGATAGAGCACAGTTCAGTCCCAACAGATGTAGAAGAAGACACAAGGTTAGTAGTAATTTAGAATATACGTAGTTCAGACTTATCCTTGTGGTAGTCCTGTGACTACATCATTGCTAGGATATGAGATGAAAAAAGTGACATGGTAGCAAGTTTCCATTTTGGCACAGTCTTGGTTATATCTCTATTTCCCATAGCTTTTTCTTTTACATTGCTCAGTGAAAACTTAATTCTACTACATTGGACCTCAGATTTCTCACAAATGTTAGAACTGAAATGTAAATTAACATTAATGTTGTTGATAAACTTTAGTGATGCCTGTAAGTTAGACTTGAGTGGAAGGCATTTCAGCACCAAGGATTATTTCTGTTGTTTCAGTTCTCTAATTTACCTTCTGAATGAAAAACCTCTTTTTTTTTTAGTGTTGTAGAGATTGCAACATTGTTACATTTGATTTATTTCTTACTTGGATTGACCAGACTTGTTTCTGTGTTATAGAGTAAGAGATATGCTACAAGAACTGGCGAAGGGAAGAGACACAGAGTTTCACAGGTAGGTCTACTCATTATAGCAGTTTAGTTAGCCAACAGCAATTACTACATTGTACATGTAGGTGGTAAATACTGGTAATGTAAACTTAATAAGGGAATTGTGAACATATACTGGTGGAATGTAGATATGAAAACTACTAGAGTATATCTTGGTAAAATGTTTCACCGTCTGTTCTTGCAGTACCTTTCTGTATGGCTGGATGGATGGAACAGAACTCATCAACCAGATCACCATGAGGTATGGGTCCTGCAAGGGTTTGTCTGTATCCTGAACAAGTTTGGAGTTGATAGAAACATCATAGGACTGTTTGTTGAGTATCCTTCAGGGTTAGCCATTTGTGAATTGTGCTACTCAATGTGGAAAACTTTGTCATTTCATCTATGAAAACCAAAGTATGCATTGCATGCATGCATACAATATGCACTGTGCAATCACAATTTACAGTGAGGATATCTAGTTGTCTCGGGATAGTTTTATTGATACTTTATTGTTCCATCTCCCAGTTTTGTCAGCACCCCGGCCATTATTGTCTTGGAGCCCTCCACAGAGTCCTACTACCTACCTGACACCCCCACCGCAGGAATGGCACGGCCACAACTGAAGGGGTTCCTTAGAAAAGTCATCAGTGGTGATGCACCTGTGAGTCTATTGTTTACAATAAATACGGTTATCTATAAGGTACACTATATTTAAGGTACAAAAATAAGGTACACTCTGTTTAAACAAGGATCTTCAAAGCTTGTTTGAAACTCCTTGGTTTCAAGTTGACACTGCCAACAATTCAAGAAGCTGCATGATACTACATGTATTGAAAAGTGTGTTGAATAATCACTGTGATGGGATGCAATTCACAGAAGTTCAGTAAGGGGGGAAACTTGTTCACCCAGTTTTCAACCTGCTCAATATAGTGCCTTTTTTTGTCCTCCAGGCCTATGGTGGGAACAGTTTCTTACAGAGATTAAAGCGAGTCTTCTATGACTTCTTCACAGGAGTCACGGTAAGTGGACACATCTGCTCTACTGAATCATCTTGAACATTTTAACATTAGAACAATAATAGTCAGGTTCTAGCGAGCTTTATGATAAAAAGCCTTTCAACAGAACTATTCCTTGCCGTGTGTCACAGTCACTGTTCCGAGCTCAGCCTTTCATAGCGAGCATCCTGATCGGCCTACCCACCTTCGTCGTGACATTCCTGTGCTACTCCCTCTGTACCACGGAGGTTGTGGATGACATGGAAGATGAAGACGACTTGTCAGAGGATGAGAAAGAAGATGAAGATAGGATTGACAGGTATGAGGAGGTGTCAGGGCACATGAAGAAAGAGTGACTTAAAATGTGGACCATTTTCATATCTTTTATCTGTTGTCATTTTTTTCCTCTTTTCATACTGTGAAATCTTTCTACAAGGCTATGAGAGAAATAGCTAGGAGAAGTCCTTTTGTGGTACATTTTCTGTTCCTTAATTTAAAAGCTGCTTTGTAATGTAAAAAATAGATATGGTAAGCATATTTGAGGTTCAAAGTCCACATGACTGTAGTGTAGTATTAAATAGAACAATAGAAGAATTTTAGATAGTCACATACATATGTAACTACATGTCTGTTTGTAAAAGGTTAGTGCTTGTAATTGTTACATTATTCAAACCCTAGGTCAATATTTTGTAATAAAGATAGGATGAGAGCAATCATGATGATGAAAGAAAATTTGTACCTGCTAGTGGCCAAAACAAGAAAGGTTAGATAGCATTCTGTAGATTTAGTGTTTTGCATATAATTGCTCAGATAAAAGAAAATAATCAGATGTACTGTATAACAAGTGCAACAGATACATTTACTGACTGGTATGGATGTTTGTAGTGTAAGAGGAAATGCAGTTGACTGCGCTGAACTAGAATGCAACCCTACACATTTAATCATGTTTAAATTTAGAATACTGATCAAGATTTTAAAGGGCTCCATCATGTCATAGAGAGATGTGTTGTACTTAATTAATACTTTATTGTTAGCTTCAAGAATGTGATAAGGACAATACAGTAATTGGCTGACTGATATTTTGTACTTTGAGACATTGATTGGGACTTTTTTGCCATATACCTTTAGGCTGCAATATGGGGTGCTTTATGTTACCAATTTTTGTGATACTGTGTGAAAAACAATCAACCCTGAGTCTTTCATAGTATCTTCAAAATTTAAAGTAAAAATTTTGTATTATGACCTAGCAGAGGCTACTGCCAGTCCGAGTTGCTTCGTGTGGCTGTCTTTATTTCACAACAAACTTAATTTTGCACCAATAGCTAGTCTGTAATGTCCACAGTATGCAGAGGTAACATCTTTAATCCAGACAGTGTAAATACATATCATAAAAACCTTTTCAAGAATGTAACATTACAATAACCATGACATACCACTTATTATAAGAATAGAGGTATGTTTTAGGTGTGAGGAAATGATAAAATACAGTTGGTGCAGTCCATGTCCATGTCCATTCATGGGAGCACAGGTAGACAGATAACCCACTCAAGGCTGTTGATGCATTGATAAAGTGTGTACCTTACAATTGTAAATGTTGGTTTTACCTTCTTTTTGGCACAATAGAAAGTGGAACAGTAACAGTAATATTTACAGAGTAGTATCAGAATTGTCATACATATTCTACTACACAAATTGGGCAAGTTGTGTGACTGTATGTGCATGTTTGTATGTTTTTCAAGATGTTTGTTCCAGGAAGTGCCATCTACTATAGAATTCTTGTATTAAAAAATTGATCCATTTAGATTGTGTTTATTCTTTGAGTATCTTGAAAAGCGTTCAACCATACATGTCAAAACTATTCCCATATGCAAACATGGCTTGGTTAATGTGTGCAATGTAG